GCCGTTGTTGTTGTAAACCGGGGGCCAACGACACAGTTTGAGCTTCAAGACTCTCCCTTATTATATATATATATATATATATATATATATATATATATATATATATATATACACACACACACACGAGCCCTAGGAGGGGCACTTCAATTGAAAATTAGCTTGGCGAAGGATCCAACCATATGCAGTTGTGAGTACCGTCTTTGTGGGCAACGCATTCGGTGAGGCTCCTTATCGGGCCACGAAATGCTGTCTTGGGCGGTGAGACGCATGCGAACACCCCCACTGGGGCTTTCGGTGGAGCTCCCTATGGGCGAAACGCTGTCCTGGGTGAGGGAGACGCACGCGAACACCCCCACTGGGGTTTTCGGTGGTGCTCCCTATGGGGCCACGAAACACTATCCTAGGTGGGGGAGACGCATGCGAACACCCCCACTGGGGCCTTCGGTGGAGCTCCCTTATGGGGCCGCGAAACGCTATCCTGGGTGGGGGAGACGCACGCGAACACCCCCACTGGGGCCTTCGGTGGAGCTCCCTATGGGGCCACGAAACGTTGTCCTGGGTGGGGCAGACGCATGCGAACACCCCCACTGGGGCCTTCGGTGGAGCTCCATATGGGGCCACGAAGCGCTGTCCTGGGTGGGGGAGACGCATGCGAACACCCCCACTGGGGCCTTCGGTGGAGCTCCCTACGGGGCCACGAAACGCTGTCTTGGGCGGGGGAGACGCACGCGAACACCCCCACTGGGGCTTTCGGTGGAGCTCCCTACGGGGCCACGAAACGTTGTCCTGGGCGGGGGAGACGCATGCGAACACCCCCCCTTGGGGCTTTCGGTGGAGCTCCCTATAGGGCCACGAAACGTTGTCCTGGGCGGGGGAGACGCATGCGAACACCCCCACTGGAGCTTTCGGTGGAGCTCTCGATAGGGCCGCGAAACGCTGTCCTGGGTGGGGAAGACGCACGCGAACACCCCCACTGGGGCTTTCGGTGGAGCTCCTTATGGGGCCACGAAACGCTGTCGTGGGTGGGGCAGACGCATGCGAACACCCCCACTGGGGCCTTCGGTGGAGCTCCCTATGGGGCCACGAAACGCTGTCCTGGGCGGGGGAGACGCATGCGAACACCCCCACTGGGGCCTTCGGTGGAGCTCCCTTATGGGGCCACGAAACGCTGTCCTGGGCGGGGGAGACGCACGCGAACACCCCCACTGGGGCTTTCGGTGGAGCTCCTCTATGGGGCCACGAAATGTTGTCCTGGGTGGGGTGGACGCATGCCAACAGCGCCACTGGCGCCTTCGGTGGAGTTCCCTATGGGCCCACGAAACGTTGTCCTGGGTGGGGGTGACGCATGCGAACACCCCCACTGGGGTTTTCGGTGGAGCTCCCTATGGGGCCACGAAGCGCTGTCCTGGGCGGGGGAGACGCATGCGAACACCCCCACTGGGGCCTTCGGTGGAGTTCCCTATGGAGAGGAGGAGGAGGAGGAGGAGGAGGAGGAGGAGGAGAGGAGAGGAGAGGAGAGGAACGCGGGGCGTTGTCTCTTCAAAACGAGGACCCAAGACCACAGGATGGTTGGGAAATACAATGTGCACCGGGCCAGGGGGAACAAGAATAATTATTCTTCGGAAGTGAGATTTCAACAACAATTCCAACAACAACAGTAAAAGCGAGAACAGCAATCACATTAGTAGTAGCAGTAGTAGTAGTAGTAGTAGTAGCAATATTGGTAGTATTAGTACTATCATTTTATCCCGTAGCACTAATAACTTAATTAACGTGTGTTGTATGATTCGCATTCGTAGTATTATTGTTATTGGCATTATCAGTATTATATTACTATTGGTAGTAGTTGTATTAGTATTGCTACGACAATTAATGATAACAATAGTGCTATTAATAGCATGTTCGAATTACGATTACTATTACGATTACTGGTAGTAGTATTAATCCTATTATAAACAAAAAGGTACGGTAATGCCATAGAGAGCACACACAGGGAGTATTGTAGATAGTGAAGAGTAGGATGCCGAGTACATCAGCGAGCACTTGATACGGAAGACCATGCGGAAGACCAGACGGGAGACCGCATGCGGAAAACCAGACGAGAGATCGCAGAAAGCACGGCCAGGGCCGTCGGCCCCGTCGTCCTGCGGCACTTCTCGAGAGCCTGAAATCGGTCCGTGAGGGCGCGGGGCCCCGAGGCGGAGCGAGAGCGCCAGTCGCGGCTCTCGTTCGCGGCGCTGGGAGTTGAGGCCTCTGGAGGCTGAGCGTGGTTGGATCGCTGGCCTGAACTACACGGCGTCGAGCGAGGGCTTTCACAGTCAAGCAATGGCGCAGCCAAGATGTCTGCGGGAAAGGTGTCAACAAGAACATGCGACGCTCTGCGTTCATCGGGAGGAGCAGATCCAGCTGCTTGCGGCAAACCCCGCCAACGTTCTAGTGCAGCAGCGCTGCAGGAAGGAGATTGAGTGCAGGAACAGCTTAATTCCGACAAGTGGTATGATAAGGAGGGGTCGTGAACTCGACCTCGTCTTCGCCCGCGCGGTAGGAAGATGAGGTATCAGGAAGTCTTCCGAGGTCTTTCGAGGTCTGTGCTAGTCGCTGGGGATCGGGCAGTGCCACGCAGCGGAGTCACCAGTAGGGGGGTCACCACCTCCTCCTTTTTTGGAAGTCGAGGATCGAGGAGGAGAGAGGGTCGAGGAGCGAGGGGGGTGGCTGGGGACGTTGGAGGGCGTCGTTCTGGGCCACGCGGGGTTCGTCCCCGGACGGTTTGGGGGTGGCACGTCTCCCCGAGGAGGTGGCGACCCCCCCCCCAAGTGCTGTCACCTCTTGGCGCCGCCTGGGAGGAAGGCCTGCGAGGAACGCTCCCGAGGGAGAGGCTCCAGGAGCGGAAAACGAGCGGAAATACAGGCGAGGACGGCGAACAAACGACGGCCCCCCCGCCCATGCCCGGAATCCTCACGTCCCCCGCGCTCGCCCCTGCGGCCACCGTCGCCAACGTCGCCCCTTGTGTAGGGAGGACAGGAGGAGGAGGAGGAGGAGGAGGAGGAGGAGGAGGAGGAGGAGGATGAGGAGAAGGGGAAGGGAGGAGGAAGGAGGAGGGGAGGAGGGAGGAGGGAGGAGGGAGAGGGAGGAGGAGGATGGAGGAGAGGAGGAGGAGGAGTGAGGAGGAGGCGGGAGGAGGAGGAGGAGGCGGGAGGAAGGAGAGGGGAGGAGGGAGGAGGAGGAGGACGGGAGGAGGAGGAGGAGGAGGGGAGGGAGGAGGAGGAGAGGAGTGGAAGTGGAGGAGGAGGAGGAGGAGGAGAGGAGGAGAGGAGGAGGAGGAGGAGGAGGAGGCAGCAGGAGAAGGGGAGGAGGAGGAGGAGGAGGGGGGAGAGGACCAGGGAGGAGAGGAGGAGGAGGAGGAGGAGGAGGAGGATGGAGGATGGAGGAGGAGGAGGGTTGAGGAGGAGGAGGAGAAGGAGGAGGAAGAGGAGGAGGAGGAGGAGGAGGCAAGCTTGAGGCAGACTGGGGGGGGCAGGGCAGGTTCGCGGCGTTTCACGGTGGACGCCGCGGGTGGCCCAGAATCGATCGGCGTTGAAAGTTCTGACGCTTCGGGAACGGCCGATGCGTCAAGGCTGAATGATCCCCGCGGCGTCGGGAGCCAGTGCCAAGGACCTCCTGGTCATGCGGGCGCCGCGCATCGAGTTTTATTCCTGGCAGGGCCACCGAAGTTTTTGCGGAAGCAGCTGGAGCAGTTTGCGGCGCGCACGTCGACACAACACAACTCTGCCGTACGGAAGGAAGACTGGACACGAAGTCCAACAGCAGTTCCTGCCCATCTTGAGCCGGATTCGCTGTCGGCGTTGCCGCGGACGTTGTCCATTTGAGGCAGGAGGCCGCTTGCCCATGAGCGGCCGCTGTCGACATCTGCTGTTGGGCATCGTACCCTTGCGTTCCGTACCTGTTTCGGGCGTCCAAATGGCAGGTGGTTTCCGCGTGTTCCTCGCGTGGATCCACCGGCGCGTATGTCAATTTTCTAGGTAGGCCGCAGGCTGCCAAAAGAATTGGCGAACTGAAATTATCGGTTTGATTGCTGCTGGCGGTTGCGCGTTCGTTGCGGCCGCAGCGGACAGAGAAGGCCTAAGGAGCGAACGAAACCAATCAGCATTGAGGTTCTCGTCCTCGTCCTCTCCAATTTCCTCCTCACCCCTCCTCCCATCTCCTCCCCCACTTCATCGATGTTCGTCATTCCTCCCAGCTCCGCATCCCTTCTTCCTTCTCCTCATTCGCGTCATTTGCTTCATCGCCGTCGCCCGCACCCCCCTCCCTCCCACCTACCGGAAAAACATGTTGTTCAAGGATTCCGTAAAGCCCGCCCAATACCATCCGGATGGTTCGTTGGAAACCTTGGTACACACGCACCCAGAACTACCGAAAATAGGGATACTGTTCAGCCAAAGGTATGCAGGGCACAGCAGAGAGATGCATCGCGATGAGGTGCCGTGCAATGCAAAGCACAGCATAACAATTGCATTGCATAGCATTGCAAAGCTTTTCACGGCATTGCAGTGCCGCATCGGATTGGGTCGTACAGTGGAGCATGACATGGCATGGCGCAACACAACATGGGATAGTTTTGCCCATCATAGCATCAGGCACCGTGGCATTGCATAGCCAAACATGGCATCATGTAGCACTGTGCACAGCGCAGCATCGCACGGAAACGGCGCGAGGCACTTGCGCTTTCCGAGTCTGACCAGCCTGCCTGAAGACTCGCACCAGGCGTTTCTCCTCCTCTGCACCAAAACTGGCGAGGGCCTTCGAGGCGAGACTGACTGCAGAAGAACCCAGACATCTGGCGATATGACTGTTCCAGTCCGCGCCCCACAGGGCCCCACCGCCTCCCCAGGAGGTACGCTTTCGTCCCCGATTAATCTTTCATGGACCTGGGGAAGATGGGCCCCGCAGGCCGCGATCGAGGCTGTCGCCCAGATACAAAATTAAACATATCGTCAAACTGCCGAAAATCCCTGCAGCCAGCTGGAATCAAGAGCGCTCGCGCCCGCCCAGCCCACCGCCGCCGGCGCCATCGCGATGAATTGCGCGGCGTGCTCCTCGAGACTCGCCGCGGCCAACGAGCTGTTCTTTTACGAAAAGAGCGCGAAGGAGGCACGCTCACTGTCCTCCTCCTCCCCGTCCTTTTTCCTAATATTTGTCCTCCTTGTCTTCTTCCTCCTCTTCC